CTATTTTCTACTTCTATGAAATTCATGTTTTCACCGGAGATGAGATTTTTATCATGAGTATTCAATTTTATAACACCATAGTATCTTAAATTGAAAATAATATAGTGAATTAATGGAAAAATTATAGATGACTACCAATTTTTTTATAGTTGACATCGGAACAATTATAGTTGACTATCTAATTTTTGTAGTTACCTCTAGCAACAATATAGTTAACTACCATTTTTTTATAGTTGACATCGTAAAATTTATAGTTGACTTTGGAAAAAATATAGTAAACTATCCGATTTTATAGTTGACTCTGAGTGTAGATTACTACAATATTTCATGTTTTTCGACAACAATGATCTCCTCTTTGTTGTGGACTCTTGATAAAACAAATTTCATAGGAAACAAATATTTATGACTCAACAAATAGTGCGACCATAGATCTGTAGATCTAAAAAACAAGCTTGTTTACAAACTTCATTTTTGAGTAATCAACCATGGAAGAATTCTGAACCGTCGCATATGGTCGTCGTGTACTGTTGCATACCATTGATGTAGGAGACTTTGATTTGTCTTTTGGAGTCGCTGAGAAGATGTCAAAAATAGAAATTATGTGGTAAATGTACATAGATTAGGTTAATATATGTCGAGGGGAGCAATGGGTGTTGAAGAAATTATCTGTCTTCTTCTTGCTACCTTTTTTCACCATTGTTGCTGACCTGTATTTTTGCAGATTTGTTTTGCTATTTTCTTGGTACAAATATAGCTAACTAGCGAAAATTGGGGAGATAATATATTGACGTATTTTTGCAGATTTGTTTTGCTATTTTCTTGGCACAAATATAGCTAACTAGCGAAAATTGGGGAGATAATATATTGACGTTAACATATGCAGTTTTAGGGAAAATAGTAGGGGGGGTCATTGCTATTAGAAATTATGGGGTAGTTCAGTAATTGTTAATTGTGAGGGGGTTTGACCCATTAAAAATAATGTAAGGTGGTTAGTCCTAATATTTTTCCTAACAAGGGGTTATATCTTATTAACCCTAAAAAATATTTGTAACAAAATCAGAGAAATTCAAACATTCCGTTCCAATTTTCATTATTATAGACTTTTCTACCGTTTTAAATAATAATAAATAAATAAAGTAAAGAGAAAAAAAAAATCAGAATTTGGTTGTTCAGTTGAGTGCCACCAAGGTTGCTCTAAGATAAGGTTATAAATTGACCCTTCTTCATCTCCTTCTCTCTCTCACACTCTGTGTGTGTGTAGTGTTTGTAGAGAGAGAGAGAGATGGCTGGAGCTAGGCAATGGAATATTCCATATTCAACATCAGGAAAGATCAACAAATTCATTTCCATACCCATTGTATCTTCTTCCAAGAGAAATGATCTCCCAATGGTAATTCATTACTGCTAATTACACACACATACAATTAATCTTCTTAATTAATCACTTTCTGCATTTGCATATTAATCATTCATATTTGATGGAATACAATCAATTATATTTATAATATATAGTTTATTTATTTTTATAATCGTGGTCGTACGTACGAAAGGTACCGAAAAAGAAGAGTAAACCGCGTCTGATCACTATATCGCCATCGGCCGACGGTAAATGGCACGGAAAATGGGACTGCGACTATATGTTCTCGTTGCAAGAATTGCATTTGCATGATTTGTGTGACGATATTCAACAAGACACCTACGTTTCCCTCAACCTCTCCGTCCAGAAGGTGAAATTCGATTATATTTTCGTTCGTTTGTTCGTCGTCGCTCGTAATATTCCTTTTTTAGAGAATTGCGTTACAAAAAAACTCGTTGATTTTTTCTTTTCTTTCTTCGAATTGTTGAAAATATATAATGGCGTAGCATGCTGGACTTGGGCTGTCAGTTGAAGGAAGGATTAAAACATGCTTCACCACAAAATGCTGCAATTGCTTCTCCCCCTATTTAAGAGAGGTACATTTTTAAATTACACTTATACCCCCTAAGATATGCTAAAATAACTTT